AGGCAAAGGGCCCCGGGGTGGTCCCCCCACCCAAGAGTTTTTTTGATTTCTTTTGTGTGTTTTGGGGGGGGGGGGGGGGGGGGCTACGTACGTTGTTGTTTGTTTGCGCTCCTATAAGATGCATGTCAGCTAGTAGGACGGGCTTCGGGGGAGGAGGCATGATGCTATAGGGTAGGCACGAGAACGCTGCAGTGCGGGGCCGGCGGTTGGCTGCTGGTTTTTAGTTGGACAGCCAGGTGGTTATCTTGCAGGCCGGCGGTATCGATGCCTGTGGTTTTGGTAGACCTTGCAGGAGATTCCGAAGGGACAAGAGCCAACGTAGGTAGGGAGCGTGGGCAAACGCCGCCCACTCGGACATTGGCGCGTGTCGTTCCTGAAACACCAGGAAACATCGGGAGCGCACACCAGCGCATATGAGTACTTTAGTCTACATGATAGGAGTAAGGAAAGGGGGCCTGGCCTCTGCGTAGATCGTCGTCGGCACGAGCAGGATGTGAACCGTGGGAAGCGGGCGTCAACCAATCACGTTTTGCTTGCCTTTGAGCGTTCAGTCGCAGGTCATGTGTCGCCTCCCCAGTAGTCAATCAATCGTTGTCTCTTTCTCGCTGGTACTACAGCCGATATGTGCGTGTGTTGAACCTATCCATCCCACCCACCCTACCCGTACGGGGAGCGGTCGTGATGGGCGTACGCCAATCAATGCCTTTCTTGTGACTGTCCTTTTCCAGTTTTTTTTTGCCATACAAACCGCTATTGAGACAGCAGCGTTGTCGCATGTAGAAGAAGCAGGGTGTAGGCTCCACGACTTCCAAGTGGTACATACGCCATCGCCGTATTGATACTTTTCCTCATTTTTTGGTATGTACCTACATGCGGCGGAGACAGACATGGGCCATGTGAACATAATGACTTGAACTTGTTCGTTTGCTGATGTACAGTACACGGAAACCGTTTTATCCATTGATGGCGCTGTGTCTAGCGCCTCGTCTTGTCTTGTGTCTTTTTGTTCGTACTTGAAACTCGCACACAACAAACGTAATAAATTAGATGCATAGGTAGAGGGATCAGAGTGCTGCACTCTTCTCGCATTCATTGAAAATCGAAGGCAAAGGACCGCAGGACGGGTGGATAGGGGGGAGCCCTCCTGTGTGACGACCACGGGTTGGAGGAAACGGCACAAGTAGTGCTGTCAGCGCTGATTTCAAGTGAAGGCAAACAACAATTCCCTGCTGTAACTGTACATGCACAAGTGTTCGTTCGTCTGTGCACTGAAGACATGGGGGAGGTCAAAATGTTCTTCTCTCTGTTGCATAAAGACCTGATATTTTGGTCTACGACACTCGATATCTTGTGCCGGTAAACCAGTTATCCAGTTTCGCTTATCAGGCTAGCAAGAAACCCCTTTGGCGATAGCGCAATACCCCGAAAATGTACGTCGAAACACGGGGTTTCGGCGCTAACTACAATTGTAAGGCCAGCAGTATTTTGTCGTGGACGCGTTGGGAAGGATACTACGCCAGTTAGTTGCAAGCACAGAGCCAACAATCTCGCAGGGACCCAAATCAACTTCCCCGTTGATGGTGAATTGCAGCCACACAACAAGTCTATGTAGGTCTCTACGTCTACGGGTGGTCGGTGTAATACGCCACGGGCAAGATCTATAAGGAAGATGACAATATACTTCATATAGCGAAGATAGCAAAGCTTCGCTATGTATTGTCATCTTCCATAGGGAAGATATACCCGCCCGGAGGGAAAGAAAGTGTATCTTGAGCACCTTCAGCGGTTTCAATATCCAACTAAAGTCTATAGGCACCAGAGCCACCAACCACAGCAGGTCAGCTCAGAGCGGGCGGGCGTGACCCCCCGGGGCCAGCCAGCAAGCGGCGGGTGCGGGTTTGTTTCAATGTTTTTGCTTGCCGGGGGGCACGTAGAATGCAGACCCAGTAGGCGAAAGGGTGGCGGTCTACTACAGCAGTAGCTGCGCAGTGCTGCACGGCTGAAAAAAAAAAAAGATGGCGGCGGAACAAAGAATATCGGCTTACACAGAAGAGCAGCGCGACCGGCGTACATCCACCCAACGCTAAAGGTTTACAGCAGTAGACTATTCCAATAGCTATCTAGGGAACCAAGATTTGCCGAATTCCGTCCACTGTAGGCTGAAAACTTGTCGGCGCAACCCGCAGCCCGTGCCCGAGAAAAACGTGCCGATCGTATCTACGCGGCGCAACCACGCTGCTGTGCACCCGCCAAAGAGACCAAGCACGAGAACGCGCCCACCACAGCATCAATCGCCACAAAAATTTGATGGAAAATGGACTGAGCGCCAGAGAATAGATTGCATAAAAAATCAACTTAGTTAGTGCAGATAATCGAGAGGTAGGCACGAATGAAGTTGAAAACTTGTGTTCGCATACAGGCACCGTGCTTATGCCCTGCCATAGTGCCGGCAACACCGAGCATTGATAATATTAGCTGCTGATCTTGTGGTTGTATAGCACTTGGAATTGTGCAGCAATACGAACTACAGGTGGAGTACTCTTCAATGGCATCAGCTAGGTTTGGACTGAAATTGCTGTTGGTGGTGCCCCCCTGTTATTGCACCGCACACGCTTGCTTGTGCCTGTTGGAGTCGGGACCTGAGACCTAGCAGCACAACTCTCCTGATTCCTGATGAAAAAAATGCAAGAAGGGTCGAGCGACTACTGTAACACGGCACCTACGGTAACAGTGAGTTTGGCTACTGATAACGTTGTGCTACGTGGTGTCGCATGCAGGCACGGTCGGCATATATATGAACACATTGAAGTACTTGTCTCGGTGTACATGAGTACGCCCTGAGCATTGGGTGTGGCGAGAACGCCGGAAATACTTACACACGAGCACCGCACACAAGATCGGGACCCCCCGGGTTGCCCAAACCTATCAACATCATGCCCGAAGGATACAAAAACTAACTTATTTACAGTCAGTACAATACCGGCCCAACGCACACAGCACCCCAATAATAATAGGTTTCCGGCAGTTTGCCGGAAAACGCGAAGAACAAAATACCATGCCAATAAACAACGGACACCCGGCTTGGCCGAAGAAAAATACCCCCCCCCCCCCGCACAAATAGACATGAACCTACTCATCTAACCAGTTTTGTTTCCCCCGGCCCTGACTTAATAGTATGAAACTAGAAACCCCCCCCCCCCCCAAAACCTTTTTCCCCCAAAAACCGACCCCCCACCGTAAACCAACCCCCCCGGGAAAAAAACCCCCCCCCCCCCCCCCCTTTTTTTTTTTCCGACGAAAACAC